TTTTTTTTTTTTTTTTAACTTAAGTCCCTTGAAGACGGCGCCTGGTATAGTGCAAAACGGGATTCTCACATTGAAAACTCAACATACAATTTCCATCCCTATCAAAAATGGAATAAAATGACTCCTAGTTTAGAGCAGTTTAGAGCACGCTTGCAACAATGACCCAATTTTTGGTCCTAGATTTGTTCCTTGTGGCGCAATAACCACCAATGCTTAAAGGCTATCTCAAAATACAATGGTTCGAAGTTATCTTCCGTCACTTTGAACATCAAATTCAGCTTTGCATTTCGAGAGCTGAGCAGTACCGACTTTATCATCTTAGGAAGTTGTTCGGCTCCTGTTCAACTTGATTTAAAAAAATTCTCCGTATTCATGTTTTAATTCCAGTTTCTATTCAATTTAAGTTAAGAAAAAATAAGCAAAAAGTACAAAGAGCCGAAAGCAGACAATAAAGATTTACACATATAGCAACTGATAATCACCATCTTGATGTTAAAATATTTTATGGGATCCTAAAACAGGCATTTGGCTACATCAATTTTCGCATGTCAATGACCCTAAATGTTAATTCCTAGAAAAGAGCACAATTTTCGAAAACAACTTCTTTTCACACTTATGTTTCCAACTTCAACTGGAAGCTTCTTGTTTATAACATGAAAGTGACAGCTTGTGACATCTGTCAGAATTATCATGCGTTCTGAGGTATCTGAATGTAAATTTTCCGCGTGGTATTAAAAGCCACTGGAACAGCACGTGCTTGGATTAACTCGTGAGATATTTCCCCTTCAGGTAAGCCACCCTGTTGTTATACGTGCTCTGTTAGTTTATTTAACGTATGTATCAGGTGTCACCAAGACGAGTTAGTAAAGTTATTCGTACAGAGAGAACCAGACAATAATGTTAACATTTTAAAAATCGTGTGTAAATACTACAAGTTTTGATAGGTTCGAGTGAACTTAATACGTTTGACATCGGTTCTTCCCATATTTTTATCAGGCCTAAAAGTTTTACCTTCGCGACGTGGAGAGGAATGACAAGGACATATCGAAACCAGTCGCTAGACATTTTAATTTACCTAATCATTCTAAGCGACACATGGCAATCTGCGGTCTTTCCTTACACTTTGGTAGCACGGAAAGCCGGAAAACTCTTGAACAAAAGCTCATCTTTCAAACCGGCAGTCTAAATCCAATAGGTATCAACGAACGCTTTTCATTCGTGTTTTTCTCGTTGCCATATTCCCACCAATCACGTAGCTCCTTTTTCTGCCTTTAAAAGCACACACAACCCACAATTCCTCTATTCGCTCTGACGAAGGACTAACGCTCGAAACGTCAGCTTTTATAATCGTAACGGTGACCAATTTACCATTTCAACTTTGTTGATATATTCAAACTAAAACTGTGGTGCATTTAACATTTATTTGAGCAGAAACAATCCAAAAAATTGACAACATCAGAGTATTTGATGAGGCGCATATACGTACAAGAATAACGGTAGAAGCAACAATTTCGAGTACCAATAGCTCAGAGAATTTAAATTATTCAAAATTTCTTAAAAATGAAATTGGCCTTTACGTTTATAACTTACGAATAATCCTTGCCGGCTTGTAACATCTGTGACGGTCGTATTAGTGACTGCGTGAAAAATGTGTAGATAAAATTAGCGAAATAAAAAGCAAAGAAAACAAAAAGAAAGAGAGATACGAAATATACATATGTCGTCTACTTTACGAGTTGCTCCATTTTAAAGGAAAAAAATTGTTTTGATTTTTAAGCACACTTTCATCGATGTTTTCAAACTGGGTCTGTGAAGGGTTCAGGATACATGCATGTAATTTACATCAATTTTTTTCATTTTGTTAGGGAAGATGTCTATCAAGAGAATGTGGATTCTAGCGCTTGTTTTGAGTAAGGCAATTGTTCCTATTGTTCATCAACATGGCAAAGAGAATTGTTAATACTATCGCATCGATAAGTTATTTTTGAACAAAATTGAAGCACTATGCGTTCTCCATGTAATTTTTCTGAAATAAGTAATAGCCGAAACTTTATTTAATCCGAATGTCTGAGATTCGATTCCTCCTGGGAACTCAGAGATTTTTATTCGTCCAAAGCTCGTGGGAAGATTAAAAAAACCCTTTTTCCTCATGGCTTTTTTGATGTCGCTAGTTCTTGCAAACCTAAATGACGCAGCACAAATTCAGTTCGTCTTGGTCAACCATTCTTCATCGCTGTGGTGCCCAGCAGAAGGTGGACCGGCTCTACGTATTGTATGGAGAAAAAATGACGCTGTTGTGCAAAACAGCACTTGTGTAAGATATCGACTCAACATCACTGAAGAAGAAATAAATACCAACTACAGCTATGAAGTGGACGGCAACGGTCTGTCTAAGAAGAAAGATATCAATCTTATTGTCGAGAGTAAGTCTGTCAAAAATTATTTAGCTTAAAGTATACGTATATGTCCCGCGTAGCTTCCCTTCATTAACCATATGTTCAGAAGCTATCATCAACTCTCCCAACTAAGCCTAGTTTATGCTAGTTTCCAATAAGATTACGTAATTTACAGCAAAGAACCTCTCGCTCAAACCATGCAAAGTAAACAAACATCAAATATATATGAAATACATATATATGAACTTCGGTTATGAAACGTATATGTGCACGATCCTTCGCAGTAAAGGGAACACACGCTTTTGAAGAAACAGCTGCCCGTCTCGCCGAACCATCTCTCGCCTGTTCCAGAAAACCAACTACTCCAACTCTTGTCACCGGAAAACCTCCCTCTCATACCTGTTCCAACCTCAACACCCATCTCTTCTTTAGACACCCATGAAAACGACATGGAAACTACACACGACCTGAAACGAAAATCCTCCGACCTCTCTCCATCTCGCAAAGAAACCCCTACCCCAGGAAAAAAAAAAAGAAAAACATAGAAACTAAAAGAAATCAAAGTAAGTCCCTTAATGTTTTTTCTTAAGTGAGTCTTTCTTCCTAAACATCTTTCAAATTATTAACTATCAATGCGAGGGGGATGAGGAATCCCCTCACCCACAACTATTTATTTGATTTAGTTGAAAAGAAGTCTTGTGATTTCTGCTTTGTACAAGAGACGTTTATTAGTTCTGAGTCTCTGATCAAGGCCGTGCCTCATCGGTGGCCGGGACGTAGTTTCTGGTCCTCTGCCATCGGCCGACAAGGCGGAGTAGCAACTTTGATTTCCCCTAGAATTTCAGATGAAGTCATATCTTGGAAGAAAGACTCGCACGGTCGTATGGTCAGTATCCTGATCAGGACCAAAGATGTTGATCTGAACTTAGTAAATATTTGCACTCCCACCAATCCATCTGAACGAAAAGTGTTTTTCGACTCTCTTCATGAGTTTTTTATTCCATCCTCGGCGACTATCATTGGAGGGGATTTTAACTGTTATGATAACGCTCTAGACAAATTTAGGGACAACATCTCTATTCATAAATATTACGAGTCATTTAAAAGTGTTTTCACTCTTATCGATGTATGGCGTAAATTGCACCCTAATCAAAGGCAATTTACGTGGTTCAATTCCACCTCAACAATTGCGAGCAGACTCGATAAATTTCTCATCTCTAAGGATTTGCTCTCCCCTGAGACGAAGTGTGATATTTTTCCTTGTTCATTTTCTGATCATGACTTTGTCTCCCTTGTTTTTGAGTTTCCTAGTATCATAAAACGTGGTCCTGGTGTATGGAATTTTAACAACTCCCTTTTGAAAGACAAAGATTTCTGCATTGCTACAGATAATTTAATCGATAATCACATACGTCTCTTACATGCTTCGTTTACATCCAGGATTGGTGGGAGTTTCTCAAACGATCCGTTAACGAAGAAGCGATCTCCTTTTCACGTAAGAAACGGAGACGATTACATGGAGATGAAGTTTTCTTAACCAATAAATTAATTCGACTTCGGCGACGTCTAGTTAATGATGACACAACCATCTCCGATTCTATATCCAATACTGAATGTCGCCTGAAAGCTATCCGTACCAAAAAAGCAGAAGGAATTATGGTTCGTAGTCGTGCCAAATGGTTAGAAGGCGACCGCCCCAGCCGATATTTCTTTAATTTAAAGCGAAGTAAAGCGCAAAGATCGCACATCTCTTCAGTGTACGATTCAGACGGCAATGAGGCCTTCTCTCAAGAGAAAGTTGCGAAAGCGCACGTAGATTTTTACTCTCGACTCTTCTCCGAAGAGCCGGTAGATGTCGCGATGCAAAACGATATTTTATCTTCCTTGTCTCCTCAACTCACGTCCGATCAGGCATCCTCTTGTGAAGGTGACTTGACGCTCGAGAAAATTACTGTCGCTCTGAATAAAATGAACACAAACAAAGCTCCCGGCCCCGATGGCCCGCTTTCGGTCGAGTTTTACTCGAAGTTCTGGGACCGTTTGGGTCCATATCTGTGCCAGGTATTCGATGCATGCTCCCAAGCTGGAGAGATGTGCGAGTCTATGAAAACAAGTGATACTCGAGTCATTTTCAAGAAATGTCGATTATAAGATATGTTCCAAGTCTCTTTCTCTCCGTCTCTCTAAAGTTTTACAGTTTATCGTTGATCCTGATCAAACCTGCTCTGTGCCCGGTCGGAAAATTACGTCAAACCTACACCTATTGCGGGATATTTTAGACTATATTGAGCGCACTAACGAAACTGGCATTCTGCTCAGCCTCGATCAAGAGAAGGCCTTCGATCGAGTTAATCACACCTTGTTATTGAATCTCTTACACCGTTTTGGCTTTGGTTCATCATTCTGCCACTGGGTTAGCACACTATAATTTATAATGGTGCTAACATGCAAGTCATCGTTAATGAATGGTTAACTGAAGCGATACCTTTGTCTCGCGGAGTGAGATGGGGGGATTCCCTGTCACCTTTGTTGTATATTTTATGTGTTGAAACTCTCGCCTGTAAAATCCGAAACAATCCCGCCATAGAAGGCTTTCTCTTACCCGGCGCACGCGGAATAAGATATAAAGTTGGGGTATATGCTGATGTTACGACCTGTATTGATAAATCTACTCATTCGTTGACATCTCTCTTTGATACCATTAATATCTATGAACGCGGTTCTGGAGCGCGCCTAAATATCGCCAAAACGGAGGCCATGTGATTTGGCACGTGGCGCACACGGAGCGATCAACCATATGGCCTCAGGTGGTTGAGCAAAATAAAAATCTTAGGAGTTGTTTTCGGCAATGATACTGAAGTGGATAATTGGCAACCAAAACTTGAGAAGTTGGAAAAACATCTCAATCTCTGCAAATCTCGTTCTCTCTCGCTCGTTGGCAAATCTCTTTTTGACAATGTCTTAAGAATCAGTAAACTACTCTTTCTGTCTTCGGTTCTGTGCATCCTTCGATGGGTTATTTGTAAAGTAAATTCGCTAATTTGTCCTTTTGTTTGGGGCTCTCGCATTGAGACAGTAAGTCGAATGACGTGCCACCAGCCTTTTCACAAAGATGGCCTTGGAATTTTCAATTTCCAAATCAAAGGTGACTCCTTAAAGCTAGCCTCTCTAGTGTCTAATCTCTCTAACCCCGAATCAAAGTCCTTTTACCTAACCAAATACTTACTAGGATTTAGACTTGCTTCTTTTCGGCCAGAGTGGCATTCTCCTCGCGACAATTCCACTCCGAGTTCGCATGAATCCACACCATATTACGAGAAATGTTTTTCGGCGCTTACCACTCTTCGCGGGATTGTGTCCCGCAAAGAGTGGCAAGACTTTGACTTTACCTCTAAGAAATGCTATCAGGCCCTGTTGAGAGAGGATTCTGATTCCCAAATTCTCCACCGTTTTTGGTCCCCCTTTCTTCCTATCGATTTCAAACTTGACAATCTCTGGGAATTGGCTCGAGATGACTTTTCTGAAAACTACAAGAATGATGTGTTGTGGTAAATTGTCCTTCGGGCCATTAAAGTCTGCGATTCCCTAAAACATTGGGGCTATATTGATTCTGATAAATGTGCCTACTGCTCTCGAAAAGAAACAATTGATCATTGTTTTCTTAATTGTTCCCGTGCTAAAAAAGTGTGGTCGTATTTTTCTCCTGTGATCTCCTCTCTTCTTGGTAATTTCTTTCCCTCTTGTAATTCTGTTTTCTTTTTTCAGTGGGCTCCAGCCAGCCCAAAAAATGCGCGATTTGCCCGGTTTCTTATCAAAACGATCTTGTATGGCATTTGGAAGTTTCGTAATAATGCTACTTTTCGCAATTGAAAGGAAAATCATGAGGGTGTAATCCGTTATATCCTCAATGATATCAAGAAGAGAATTCTCTGTGACCACTTTCGTCTCTGTTTATCTGACTTTAAAAATTTGTGGGAAGCTCCAGCACTGTGTCAAGTAGGCAATACTACAATTAAAATTCTCGTGTAAATAATTAATAGCTGATTTAGTAACTATATTAATAAATAGATTAATTGTTAGTTCCTTTTAGGTTTCTTTAAATTATCCCTAGATCAATGTTAGCGTTACTTGAATTACATTTATTCGAACTATCTTAGGAGTATTAATATATATTAATATAATTAATATTAGTTATATCATTATTCTTCGCAATTTACGCCTTTTTTTATTAGTTCAACTTAGAATTATCTTTACTTGTAGCTAAGAATTATCCTAGTTTAAATTACGACTCCCTTTAGATATATATACTTTATCTTCGAACTTTGAATACTTTTAAGTACTAGTATTTAGTTAGGGCCTAGCCCATGTGCTGTCTGCACTTTTATTCTCTAATTAGTGATTTATTGAAAATAAATCCTTTTCAAAACTTAAAAAACTGTCTGCAGTTAGTTATATATATATATATATATATATATATATATATATATAAATGTTAGAGTAGGGTCTACCTTGGCATAAAGTGCTCAATGCTATGTTAACAGAGCTGGGTATACATTAGTTGAAGAATCGACGTCACCATGGGCAGCTTCGACGGAGCGGAAGTTTGCGAGTTTATCGGACATTTCCTCCTGAACAACCTCGGCAAAAAATACGGCAAGAACAACGTAGGACTCTACAGGGATGACGGGCTGTTGCTTCTAAGAAACACAAGCGGACCACAATCTGAACGGACCAGAAAGGACATCACAAGTAAATTCAAGAAACTAGGCCTAAACATCTCCATAAGCACAAACCTCAAAATCTGCAACTTCTTCGACGTCACCCTAAACCTCGCGGACGGAAGCCACTATCCATACAGAAAGCCTAACAACAAAACCCTTTACATCAACACCAATTCCAACCACCCGCCAACAATAATAAAACATATACCTGCAGCAATCGGCCGATGAATCTCCGAGATCTCCTCAAGCAAAGAACTCTTCAACAAAACCAAGCCACACTACAAAAGTGCACTCAAACAAAGCGGACACGGCGAAAAACTAACCTACACCGAACGCAAGAAACCTGAAACTCACAACCGCAAGAGCAGACAAAGAAACATTATTTGGTTTAATCCGCGCTACAGCATGAACGTGCAAACAAACATCGGCAGAGAATTTCTGAACCTCGTCAGCAAGCATTTTCCAAAAAATCACCGGTACAACAAGATTTTCAACAAAAACAGCATAAAAGTTGGCTATAGCTGCACTGACAACCTGCAAACCATAATTAAGAAGCACAACAGGAAAATCCTTGAGACAAGCAAGACACCCCCTACAGAAAACAACTGTAACTGCAGGAACAAAAACGACTGCCCTCTGAAAAACAACTGCCTCACTTCAAGCGTCGTCTACAACGCCAACGTAACAACTGAAAATGACACAGCCGAAAGAATTACATTGGACTAACGGAAGGAACCTTTAAACAACGCTACACGCAGCACAAACTTTCTTTTCGAAACAGAAACTATTCAAGCAGCACGGAACTACCAAAGTATATCTGGCCACTCAAATACAGCAACACTAACTTCACAATTAACTGGAGTATTTTAGCGACCGCCCCGGCCTACAACAACAAAACCAAGCGGTGCCACTTGTGCCTCACAGAGACACTTTATCTAATTAGAGCTAAGAAGCCGTCTCTATTAAAAAAAAGAACAGAACTTATTTCTAAATGCCGACACCAGAATAAATTTTACTTATCAAATTTCACAAGCCGCCAACAATAGCCCAAGAGAATATTTATTTATTTATTTATTTATTTATTTCATCGCACCAGCGAATTAATTAACTACTATATATGAGGAGGTATGTTCTTTATTGAAAAAAATTCTGTCTGACGAGTGCTAGGGCGCGAAAATCAGAGTAACAGAGAATCGATGGGTCCTCTTTGATTCCTCAACTAATGTATATATATATATATATATATATATATACACACATACCTATATATACACATACCTACATATACACATATACATATACCTATATATACACATACCTACTTGTCAACGGCTTAGACGACACCACAAATGTTGGGTCGTTTGGGGTGACCGTCTCGGTTCTCCTCCATCCTAGCATCAGCACTGCACTGATGAGGCCCAGAAGGCCGAAACAGTACTGTCTGCAGTTAGTTATATATACATATAGGTTTGTGTAGCGTTTCTCTTTTTTGGGTGGCCTTTTATAAGGGAACCTGTTCCTGTTTCTTGGCCTTCCCCTCGGCTTTGTATATGTGTTAAGTTTGTTGAGAAAATGATTAAAGTAAAGTAAAGAATGAAATAAGACCAAAAAATTTAGATGCAAAATCGATGTAACTAAAGCATTCTGGAGCTAATTCAGAAGAAATGTCCAACCATCAAATGTGCTAACTACCCAGTCACTGTTTTTTAGGGTGCCCTAAAACTTGTCAATGCACAGTTCTAGAAGGTAACATAGAGGGTCTCATACGTGTTGATTGTGAAAGGAAACAGCTAAGATCAATTCCATGTGACATTCCAAGAGCTACAGTAAGATTGTAAGTAATTAGGTTAAATGATATTATAACATATAGCGAAGCGAGAAAAACACAACCAAGACTAATGATTATGCTTGTTTGTATGCAATAGCCTGGGTACTAATGATACGATGACCACTGACTGGAAACGGAGCCTAAGCAATATCACTACTGGCCCATTTCCAAAATTCATAGCCATTTTTTCCTGATGGTCAAAATTATAATTTATACTACAAATTTATCAATTGTTTGTCAGAAATGCAATTCAGGTTTGCAACCGAGTAAATTTTTTTTATATGTTGATTTATCTCAGGAACTTGTCCACAAACAATCTAAATAACCTATCAAAAGGGATTTTCAGCGAAAACGCAGGCTGCGATACCTCTAAGGACTTTTTCACTCGCTCAAAAACCTTTTCTGATGTGTACGGCTTTTGTTCCCTCAACTGTGAAAGAGAAACTTCATTGGGACTCTGGGACAATAACCTCAGATACATCGATTCTTTTAAGCAACAATCTATTGCACGTAACATCTATGATGTTGACTTAACACTTCCCTTTCTCCCGAAAGGTCTCCTCAAATCATCCGCTTGCGTTTACGTGTTCGTGGTCTGATACTTTTTTTTTACCCAATTTTGGTTATAGAGACTTGTCTGAAAATCAGTTCAAGACACTACAGCCAGATATATTTTATCCTTTGTGGAGGCTCAGAGGGCTGTAAGTATTCATCTTGATACATGTGTCATTCTATATTTGCAAATCTTAAAGGAACACTTTCTAGAATGAAGTGCGCCTTTTAGCTGATGAACTCTTTTTAGGGATGCAAAACTCAGTTTAAAAAAAATACCTGAATTAAAGTCCAGTACTGTGCTATTGGGAAGACGGCTTCCATTTGTTATAGTGTTGTTCGTTGCTAAATAGTTACGTCGCAAAATAACCCTGAAATAATGGTATGCAGCCACCTTATACTTGTAAAAAGGTGAGAAAATTACACTTCCTTCTCCGCAAGTGAGTCGGTCGTTTCAAAAAAGAGGAAAGCAGGAACAAAAATGAAAAAAAAACTGCATAGAAGGGAAAATAAAAATTAACGGAGGAAGGCCCGCATCAGGAAAAGATTAGTGCTAAATAAGATGGGCTGGCAACAAGAGCGAGCTCATGTGAGACCAAAAGGTTTCTTTCTCGAATGAAGCGCGTCTTTTAGCCGATAAAGTATGTGGTAGCTTTATAAAGGGAAACAAAACTCGCCAGGATGACTCCTCTTTTCTTGAGCCAGGTTACGATGTTCCCAATGGACCAGGGTAGCTGCTAAATCCATGGGACTCTTCTCTTTCCTTGATCTTCCTTTACGATTTCAACCTTGATGAGTAAAAAATTTATCGACTTTTCTAAAGTATGAGAACTGATGCAAATAGCAAACCACAGCCCCGTGGTCACCACAGCCGTCTTACCTCATCGAGCCACTGTGGAGAGTCCCTGGGCCTGAAGAGTGGGATTAGCCTGCGCGTGCTAAATTCCACTTTAAATCTACTAAGCGCAGGCGAGAAGAAAAGTTCTACAGCAATGGAGAAAGGACGAGATCACAAGTATTGGACGTAACGAGTTGCAGCTCTAACTCCGCATGTAGGCAGCTCAGGATATTGGTCGCTTAATAATAATAGTAATAATAATAATAACAAACATTTTAACGTGGAGAAACACTTAGCAAGAAGCTAGTTTACAGGTTTTCCACGAAACAACTTAAACAAATAATTCAAATTGAAAGTAACGTTGTTAAGAATCCCAACTAACCGAAGGCAAACCAGTTGGCTATATTACAAGCATGGCCGGGGATTTGAAACTCGGGGCTACCGTGAAACAAATCCAAGTAGTGATCAGGGCGGGACTTGAACCCAGGACCGGCGGATTGCAATTCCGACACGCTGACCACTCGACCATGCTGCCTTCATGTTGAGGAGGCAACAACAGCACTCGGCGGCGCCCTAAGCAACCAAGCAGCCCTTTTTATGGATAACAATACTTGCTCCATACGGAGATTGGTTTAGAAAAGGTGGAACAAACCCAGCTTGCCTCACACCCTATCTGGTTGGTTAGCCGCAGCCAACAGGTATCCCACACCAGCAGCAAGAAAAAGCTAAAAGAAAAAGGCAGACCAAAGACAACACCTGTCACGTTAGCTGCTGGAATATCTGCACGATGCAAGACCCCGATGAAGCTGACCGACCAAAACGACGCTCAGCACTGGTGGTACGGGAACTAACCCGACTGGACGTTGACAGCGCTGCTCTCAGGGAGGTGTGTTTTGCAGAACTAGGATCACTCACAGAGCACGGAGCAGGATGAGACCCATGCTCTAAACACTGGCACCTCCTGGACTACTTCCCTGTACGCCAAAAGGACGTACGTCACCACAGTCACACCCAGTGACCAAAGTTCGACGCAGCACCAAGCCTGCAGTGAGACAAAGAGGAGCACAGGTGAGGGAGCTTGATACCAACAGGCTGTTGGCGATGAAAACTGAGTTTGAAGAGGAGCTCCAGACCAGACAAGAAAAAAAGAACTGCTAGTCCAGGAAACAGATCCCGAGCACCAGAAGCAGCAGCTGAGAAACATTCTCCAAGAAACAGCTGAGAAAGTAGACGGCCTCTCCACCAGAAAGCAGCGAGACTGATTTTACGAGTGTGATGCCGAAATCCAAAAGCTCCTCCAGGCCAAGCGCTCCTGTCATACAAAGCTCCTCTCCAGGCCAGATGACCATGCTACCAAGGCTGTAGACAGGAAAGCGTGCATTAATATACAGTCAGGTCTTAGAGGGATTCAGAACAAAGGCACAGTTCTAAACCGACATTGTAACTCCAAAGCCTTCTATGGAGCTTTGCGTGCTTTCTACGGCCCAATGCACCAATTCCAGGCCTCTCTATGCTCGTCTGATGGCTCCGCGCTACTGACTGAAAGGGTCTGCTTCCTTCATGGCTTTTCATTCAAAAGAGCACTACTACGGTCTCTACGGAGACAGACGCTCCGTCCAGGAGGCCTCCATCGAGAATATCCTACAGCAGGACGTCAAGCTAGAACCAGATAACCCACCAACAGAAGCAGAAATCAAGGCGGCCATCAACAGGCTGCAGTGAGACAAAGCTCCAGGCATTTGTGAAGTCCCATGAGAGGTGCACGTAGCAAACAAGTCACTGTCGTTGAACGACTTACCACACTGTTATCTTCCTGCTGGGACAGGGGAAGGTACCACAGAACCTCAGAGGTTCAATCATTGTCTGCCTCTACAAGAACAAAGAGGACAAATCCGACTGCTCCAACTAAAGAGACATTACCCTCCACTCCATAGCGTGCAAGATACTGGCCAGAGTGCTCTTAGACCAGCTCATCCCTACCATTGCCAAGCAAAACCTCTCCGAGTGTCAGTCTGGCTTCCGCGCCAACAGAAGCACTGTCGACATGACGCAAGTTACGGGAAAAGTGCCAGGAACAGAACATGAGCCTGTAGGCAGCCTCCATCAATCTGACCAAGGCCTCTGACACGTTCAGCCGAGACGGCCTCTGGAAGATCCTTGGCAGACTAGGATACCCACCAAAGCTCCTCGCCATCGCTCAGCAACTCCACAAAGGCCCACAGGGTCAGATTAAACATAGCAGCAACCTCCCAAACCCCTTCCCTATTGAAAATGGTGTGAAACAAGGCTGCATGCTGGCCTCCAAACTCTTTTCCATCGTCTTCAGCGCGATACTGAGAACGGCTAAGGAAGAACTGACCAAAGGAATTTACATCAGGTTACAAACCGATGGAAGCGTCTCCAGTTTCCGTCGCCTCCTCGCCCGAACCAAGACCATCGAGGAACTGACCTTTGAGCTGCTCTTTGACGACAACTGTGTGCTCCCTAGACAGTAGTTGACCACTCCGCACAGGCTGCTCAAGCATTCGGTCTGACCATCAGCCTGAAGACGACAGAGGTTCTATATCATAATTTCCTGCACGCAGTTTCCAGCCCCCCCCCCCGACCAGGTCACCATCAACGGCCGCCCACTGAATGCGGTAGAACTGTTTTCATACCTCGGTAATGTTGTCTCCAATGTTGCCACGACCACCAAAGACGTGGACCACCGTCTCGCCAGAGCCGGCAGCTGCTTTGGTCGCCTCCAGTATCGAGTGTGGTAGAATCGCTCACTTACGCCTGATGACCAAATCAGTCGTCATCAGCACTGGAAAACTTCCAGCAGAGGTGCCTGCATTCCATAATGGCTATTTAATAGGAGGACTACCTTACCAATGTCGAGGTTCTAAAGAGGGTAAGACTGCCATCGCTGGGCTGGCCATGTCTCGCGCATGAACGACAACAGGATGCCCAAAGTTGTGTTCTTTAGCAAACTCAGCAAAGGCAAACGTGACAGAGGTGCTCCACGCAGGCACTACAAGGACCAGCTTAAACGACAGCTAGCACAGGCTGGAGTTGACCACAAGGACTGGCAGAAGTTTGCATAAGATAGGGACGAATGGAGGTCAACTACCAAACGGGTAGCTCAGCAGTTCGAGGACTCTAGAGTGAGTACTGCTATGGAGAAACGCAAGCGCCGAGAGGAATCGGCCAATCAAGCAACGTCCAGCAGCGATCAGAACTTTCCCCGTCCCACCTGCTCAAGAATTTGCAGATCCAGAATTGGACTCATCAATCACCAGAGGGCATACCGCTCCCAGGAAGAGCCGTCTTCCCACTGATCTTCGGATTACGAAGAATCTGCCATCACCATCATCTGATTCCTGAGCGACTAACTCATTTGCCGACGTTGCGATGTCGGACATCGAGCAGGCAGCGCCAGAGAACTCATCTATTTACTTGAGAGACAATGAGATTGAAATTAAACAAGTACTAATACATGTAAGAGACTTCCCCAACCACGTAGTTTTCTTCATTCTTAAATATTTCAAGGATCACTTTCATGTCGTTAATGAGTACACTTAAATTCCAGGCCTTTAATTTTTTCCAGCAAATTAGAGAAGGCCCCTCCACAAACTAGTTGCGAATCCCACTTTCTATAGTGAATTCCTTCATTTAGTACAAATGATGGTGCTCTTTTATTACAGCTGGCTGGAAAACAACAACTTAAAGACATTACCTGAAGAGCTTTTTACCGGGCAAGATAATTTGAAATATTTGTGAGTAATAATGATAATATTTCGCAGTGGTATCCACTTGAAATAAAGCTATCGCTACCTTGTTCCTTTTGCCCGAAAACACGAGTAAATACAATCGGCAAAGTAAAAATTACTAAAAACAGTTGATCCCGGACACAGAAGACTGGCAGTTTTTATCAAGAGCCGAGTCTCTGACTTAAATAAAGCATTAATTTTTTTGAAGGAAGTACTACATTGAGCGCTATTTAAATACAAGTCTCGGATCAACTTAGGTATCTAAAGGGATGAGAAGGGATGCGATGGATTCCTCTGTACCTCTTTTTTTTCATGTTGGTACATGTTCACAGCTTTTCAGGCTTTGCTCTTTACAACTGCTCTAGATTAATTTTTCTTTGAGGATCAATTTTTGGACCATATCTCATTTTTTTTCTTATATTTTTCCCTATTCCTTGTCTTTTAGACTGATAATGCAAGTTTAATGTTTTTTAATTTAAAATCCCTTTTCTCTTTCTCGTTATTCATGCAGGCGGTTAGTCGGCAACCAGCTAGAGAAGCTACCTCGCTACATATTTCATGGATTGACTGACCTGGAGGAACTGTAACTAGAATCTATTTTCGCAAACCTTTAGTAAAAAATACCAGGTTAAGAATACATTTTGTGTGTAATATGCTGTGTAAGTGCTCAATAAGAGCCTCTATTTTTGTGGTGTTGGCCCAGCTAAGCGATCGTTTACCGTTATCATTCCCAGAAATTTGGGACAATATGGCGGAGGCGGTTCTCGTGTTACAAGCAAAATGGCGCCGAAACAGTATAAGAAAATGTATGGGAAAAGATTGTTTTTTCAAAATAGCTGTCTAAGAATATTCTTTCGCTGCGTAGTTGGGAATGTAGCCTGCATCAGTTAAAGCATCCATCGCTACGAAAAAGAAATATCAAATTCAAGCCTATCCCTTCCCAAGGTATAAGAGTAAACTCGTAATTCTGACTCCATTTTCCCATACAAACTCTTAAAATCTGCCTCGACTAGGTGTTGCAATTCTTTTCTCAAGGGAACAATCTTGTGAAGGTTCGCAACTGCGTCGTTCGATACGCATTCTGCAGAAGTTTGCTCAACTAAATCGCTCGTAAACGGTCGAATATGTTGGCCCACAAATTTCCCTTGAGCCGGGAGACCCTTCGCATTTTCACAGAGCTCAAAAGCCCAATACGCCATTTTCAAATACCCCAATTTTAGGAAGGAAGAACACGAAAGATACAAGTCCCTGTAACTACACAATTTTGCCACCATTTTCTTTGTTTTGACGTCTCCTCTGGCTTTCTGGGATAGTAAGGTACCTGGCCTTTCTCCGGCGGGGTTTTACGAAAATACAAAGTAACGTGTTCACTTCACTTCCACCGCCGCCATATTAAATTGTCTGTAACACGATATACCGCTGCCATTTCGTAACGGGCTCGAAATGTCCCCGATTTCTGGTGATGTAGTTCAGCAAAGGAGTGTTTTAACCTGGAAAATGGNTTGACATTCCATTGAAACCTGTTCTATTGTTTACGGTAAAACTACTAAATAACATTTGGAAGATGGTGTTTTAAAAAGGCAACACAAATGAAATATTTACTTTGTAACACAATCAGGTATAGTTAATTTTATCTCCATCAATTTGTCATGTTTGCCACGCTAGACGGTCTCCAAAAATATTATCAAGAATTATTGAATAATCAACATCAATTTCCGGACGATAAAAGTTTCCCATACCCTTTTCATAAACTTGTAATGATATCTCTGTTATTCAAGGGCCATTCATGTCAACCATATCACACATCTGCCACGTGGAGTTTTCGAAGGCCTGAAAAACATGCTGTCTATGTAAGCACCATTTTGTTACCTTTTGTTTGACTCCCGTTTACCGTTATCATTCCCAAAAATTTGGGACAATATGGCGGAGGCGGTTCTCGTGTTACAAGCAAAATGGCACCGAAACAGTATAAGAAAATGTATGGGAAAAGATTGTTTTTTCAAAATAGCTGTCTAAGAATATTCTTTCGCTGCGTAGTTGGAAATGTAGCTTGCATCGGTTTAAGCATCCATCGCTACGAAAAAGAAATATCAAATTCAAGCCTATCCCTTCCCAAGGTGTAAGAGTAAACTCGTAATTCTGACTCCATTTTCCCATACGAACTCTTAAAATCTGCCTCGACTAGGTGTTACAATTCTTTTCTCAAGGGAACAATCTTGTGAAGGTTCGCAACTGCGTAGTTCGATACGCATTCTGCAGAAGTTTGCTCAACTAAATCGCTCGTAAACGGTCGAATATGTTGGCCCACAAATTTCCCTTGAGCCGGGAGACCCTTCGCATTTTCACAGAGCTCAAAAGCCCAATACGCCATTTTCAAATACCCCAATTTTAGGAAGGAAGAACACGAAAGATACAAGTCCCTGTAACTACACAATTTTGCCACCATTTTCTTTGTTTTGACGTCTCCTTTGGCTTTCTGGGATAGTAAGGTACCTGGCCTTTCTCCGGCGGGGTTTTACGAAAATACAAAGTAACGTGTTCACTTCACTTCCACCGCCGCCATATTAAATTGTCTGTAACACGATATACCGCTGCCATTTCGTAACGGGCTCGAAATGTCCCCGATTTCTGGTGATGTAGTTCAGCAAAGGAGTGTTTTAACCTGGAAAATGGTTGTTTTCACAAACTTAGCAGAAATACTCATCAAAATCCGGCGGCAAGGAGTTCTTTCAGTCTTTTGTTTCGCCGGCATTGATATGTTTGTATGTCATAAGCCACAAGACGCCAGTGAAGTTTTCTCATTGACTGGGAGAAAGAAGTTGGTTGAATAAGAAACTTGATGGGGTGAGGAATGTAACCCTTTCCATTTTTACCTTTCCAAGCCAATAGACTTTGGGATTTTCTAAGACAACAATGTATAATTAAGCATGAGAGATGATATATAAAGACAATTATACTTTGTTACACTCACTGGTTCAAATCTACGTAGTCTTCCTCCTTGTTTTCTTTCGTTTTTCGGTTTGAAATCAACACATTTACCAAAAATTCTACAACCTCTTATTTTCAGGGACCTGTCTCACAACCAGTTGCAAAACTTGTCTCGAGGCGTTCTAAGCACAAATACTAAGCTGAAAGAGTTATGAGTAAAGCTCCAGTTACAATTCTAAACTGAATCAGATACTATTTAATTATACTTCATCTCTCGCTTATTTCTACTTCCGTTTGAGATCCCTTTAGAGTACAATTGAAGTGTTGTTTTGTTATAATTCTATGAAAATCAAGGAACTCAGCATTTATTTTCACGCAAAAATAGACTTTCATTGAATGAAACCAGTTGGGCACTGTAGTCCGATTGCTCAAAATTGTTTATTCTTTACCTTAGTGGATAGTTTTTGGGCTATATTTCATAGGCGAAGTGTGCGTTGGTAAAACATCTGTTCGGAACGGTGAGGAAGGGAAAGGGAAGGAATGTTGTCCGTAGTCTCAAGACGACGTTTTGAGCGTATCTTTGACACTTAGCATTTATTCCAATTACTCTTTCAAGGGATTTGTCAAACAACGAGATTAAGCATCTGCCTTTGGATGTCTTCGGCAACCTAACCAGCTTGAAAAAACTGTAGGTGGCATTCGCCTTACATACCATTAAAGAATGAAGCAGTTTTCATAAAGCTTCAATTTACAAAATTTACAAAAAGCTCAATTTACTGTATATCATGAGAATGTTGATTTAATACGTTTGCCTAGTAATGATGTTGTTACTGCAACACAATTAGATGTATTAAACGGTCCAACTAAAAATTTACTGTCTTATACGGCTTATTCAAATTAATTCACCCAAGTAGTGGTCATATTTGAGCTACAAGACAATAAGAACAGTTTGCGTTTTAAAAAAGGGGATTGAATAGTGATATGACCGACCTCCCATAGTCTGGGTGCATTGCTACTGAGAATAATTGAGACGCCCACTTCGAGAGGGAGTGCAAATGACTTCTTTTATCCTAATTCTTTGGATCAGGTGGAAACACTTCATATGACTAAGAAGGATGTGTCAAATTCCGACAGTCCTAATACTTTGCCTCGCAATATTTGAACCACTCGGATTTTGTATTTGAAACAATGCGGTCATTATCCAGATAGCAGTAGAAACTATTTTAAGAATCTGTTAAGCTAATGTGATTGTTCTTTACTTTCTCTCTAAACTTTTCCCTACAGCTTTCTGTCTAGTAACAAAATTCGACGTCTGCCGCATTTCAACAATCTCTCTGAGATAGAGACGTTGTACGTATATCAAGTTTGTAATGCAAACTGGGTTAATAGAAGGATCTCGTACAAGCTGCAGTAATTAAAGGAAGTTCTGGAGACTCTTCATCATTTTACCCGAGATTCATTTCTCATATTTCTAAGTTCTAAAAGTACATAGTAGGATATACAAAAAAGGCTCAATAATCGCCTATTGAAAGGGTCAAATCTATTCGATTACGTAAGACAAGTTTTTAAGTTTCATTAGTGTTTCCCATTATTTTAAACTGCAATTAACGATCCTTGGCAATAATAGCGGCACTATTAACATAGTCTGAATAATCACACATTTCATTTCAATTTATTGTGTAGATATATAGACAACAACAGAATCGCAAATCTGTCAGCCAATCAATTCCACGGCCTGTCCAAACTGAGAGACTTGTAAGTAAAATGTACCGATTTTATTGATACATTCGGTACTTTGGTATTACATCAAGTCTTGAAAAAACGGCTTGACGGAAAGAAAATATTTACAGTCTAAGTAACTTTCCTAAACTTGCGATACTGTGATTAAATAGCTCAAATTTCGACTTCGAAAAGGAAAATCCTGGCAAAATTTTAAAAAAGGATTTGACACTCGAAATTACTAGTAACATTTGTACCATCGCACGGGGGATTGGTTTGGCGAATTGACATTGCACCCACCCAACTCGCCTTTCTCTTGTTTTTTTCGCTCAATCAATCGAACCTGCTTTTCCAAAGGGATTTCTCTTGGAAAAGAAATAGCTGGTAAAAGAAAAACAAGGGGCTTAACAATCTTTTCCATCTATGAAAAATGGTTCATCGTATTCGTTAACCAATGCGTTGGCATTAGTGCAAAAATCAATTGACTGACGAAAGTTATCCTTGATTGCTTTGGCCGTAAATAAATTTTGATCTGTGACTGGTCCACAAAACTCGCCACATACTCTCAACGAATCAGATGCAAAACTAAAAACAATCGGTGCCCGTTCATTTCCGTTTTCCTGCTTTTCAGGTAGTTTGTTTTTCTTCATTTTGAGTTCTCATTAATTTTATTAATGATAAACCTTTGTTTCTGATTGGTCGCTGGGATAACTTTGGCTGTGTTTTTTGACATTCCATTGAAACCTGTTCTATTGTTTACGGTAAAACTACTAAATAACATTTGGAAGATGGTGTTTTAAAAAGGCAACAGCAAATGAAATATTTACTTTGTAACACAATCAGGTATAGTTAATTTTATCTCCATCAATTTGTCATGTTTCCCACGCTAGACGGTCTCCAAAAATATTATCAAGAATTATTGAATAATCAACATCAATTTCCGGACGATAAAAGTTTCCCATACCCTTTTCATAAAATTGTAATGATATCTCTGTTCCTCAAGGGCCATTCATGACAACGATATCACACATCTGCCACATGGAGTTTTCGAAGGCCTGAAAAACATGCTGTCTATGTAAGCACCATTTTCTTACCTTTCGTTTGACTCTTGATAGTTAATCTTTGAAGGGGCAAAAAGGATCTCGGGAAGTTACTACCAAAACATTCGGACAAATTGCACTTACAACGCTCTCGAAAGGAAATCATTTATCTTCTCAAGCTTCTGTAAAAAAAAGCGGCTCATTTCCTCACACCGTTCCATTTGTAAATCTACCGCAATAATATCGTCCGCAGTTGTCACTCTCAATACAGTTTTCCACTGGTGTTACGACAACTCACGTTGTGACACGTACCTGTCAGTCTATGATCTTCAATGTTCTCTTACTTTTTAGGAGCTTTCATCTCAATAAAATCCGCAATGTGTCCAAAGAACATTTCAAAGATGTCGCACCAACCATACGATCCCTGTGAGTATACACAAACTGACATTATCCAAGGTTTCCGGAATTTTACAGATAAAGTTCTTACTTACAGTAGAATTTTGGCGTAAGATGAAGTTGGGCGATTCAGCATATTGGATTAGGTTTTAAATTTTACACTGGAAAAGTGTGATTATGTTGGCACCATAGGTCTCATTGAACTGCTCGCTCGTATTCCAACGTTCCCGGAGGTCTCCTACTCTCACGATTTAAAACGTGTAGGTATCACCAAACTTAAAGCACGATTGGCTATTGCGAGAATGGTATACCTCTCCATTCTCTTATGCTTCAAACCACACTAGAAAATTTACCAAGTCTGTGTGTTCCTGGGGTCGGCGAGTTAGTTGGTTAAAAGGAGTGAACACCCTTGTGGAGATTATCAGGGTGGAAAAGAAGTATGACTCTATAAAATGAGTATGGATTACTATGCTGTACTGATTTCCTCTAATTTGCAGGTACTTTCATCACAACCGAATGCGAAAGCTACCAGAAGGATTCCTCTCTACTATGCCAAATTTAACAAGAGCGTGAGTAAGCTAGAATACTCTGAAAGCTTGGTCTAAAGCGATTTAGATCTTTCATCCACAATTGTAAGACTACAGAGCACTAAAATTTTCTTGTAACCGTATCAATACACTCGATAATAAAACAAGACAGAACTCTTTCTACTTTAAAATCGTAACAAAGGCAACTATCAAGTTCCTTTTTTCTTAATGTTAATTACAGCAACTCTTCCACCATTTCTATACCAGGTTTTTACCTCTTTTGATAATTATTTGAAATGTTTTTTGAAACGTAGGACTGTAGACACCAACATGATGTGCTGTCACTTAACGAAAGAGGACGCGGATTGCGATTATGTCTATGTCGACAGTTTTGCCAGTTGTGAAACAATGTTCAGAAATCGAGCTGCTAGGACATGTATCTGGGCGATCGCAACCATGTCTCTGGTTGGAGCTATATTTGTCATCACATGGCGAATGGTCTACAGGGAGACAAATATTGTACAGCCAATCATGTTGATTCACTTGGCGGTATCTGATGGGTTAATGGGTATTTACCTGATCACCATAGGTTGGAAGGATGCTACATGGGCAGGGCAATATCACTTGCATGATTATAACTGGCGAACAAGTCTTGCATGCCAGATAACTGGTGCAATCGCTGTGTTATCAAGCGAGGTCTCACTGATGCTTCTTTCTCTTATCTCTGCTGACAGGCTAAAAAATATTGTGTTCCCTTTCCATGTTGGTGGACTAACCAACAAAGCCACTCATGCTTTGTGCTTTATTATCTGGATTATCGGTTTCATAATTGCTTTTCTTCCCACCATTGGCATTCAGTATTTTAGAGCCCCTGCTGGAGATGATCACTTTTACGGCAAATGAATCCACTCATGCACCCAAGGAAGCGTTGGGAGACTTGCAATAATGTTCAGTGAATTCTGAACAGCCGTAGAACGAAACTGTGCGTACTTAAAAGGCTATGTAGGAGTGTCCTTAGATAGAGAGTAGAATACATTACCCTTACTGTATTCAAAATGTTAGGAAGCTATAAATGGCGACAATGAATAACAGTAGTTAAGTATTAATCATAATTACTCAACTTCACCCACCAAACAAAGCATGTATGGGCAAATTAGAAGGATCATAGTAAAGTTAAGTGAGTATTGGAGTAGCCGTCTTACGTAACAAAAAAAAAAAGTTTTAAACTCTGTGTTTAAAATAATGTTCTTAGATGAAGACGATCAAGAATGTTGCTCATTATTCATTAGTTTCAGTTTAATTTTTAAGTAACTCTTGGTGGCCACACTGAATAACAGTGCTCGGCCATATTACATATTTACTCAACTACATACAGCATACTAAGCAGGGTGTGAAAGTCAGATATTGCATTTTTGTCTGGCCCATTCATTTATTCTGATTTGTTGTTAAATTAAGATAAGTTTGGTAAAGCTTGAACAATCCTAACACATTAGAACAGAACAAGTCATGCACGTTGCATGTGCCCGGAATTACCCACCAGAGAGAAAATCATTAAGGCCCCATAATGGGGATTTTGTCAAGCTTCTTTAACTGATTCAATAAATAAAGATTTAAAACAAAATGAGACATGAAAGATAATTATATATAAACAGGCAAAAATGGAATATAAAGGAGGCGATCTAGGGAATGTTTAACCTTCCTATACAAGATATATCTTCCAATATTTCTGTCCTCATGTCATTCACATTTCCTTTCCTTTATATGCTTCCGTCAACCAGAATTGGAATAACATCTCGTTACATCGAAATATTGTCAGGACAATTGAAAAAACCCCTTGATCAACCCTGACTCTTGAAAACACAATAAATTCAACCGCCAAAGCTCTTGGGAAAAGAGTTATCAGCAAAGTCTGTTGAAGTACATTATTTTCTATGCCTGGGTGGATTTAAAGTCACGGTCCAGCAATCACTCCAAACTTCTTTGGGACAAATAGGAAACAAAACACGATGGACATAGACGTTGGGGTCACACACACATATTTAATATATGCAGCGCCTACCGTGATTGTCACTTTCATGCAATCTTTTCAAACAGGAATTTAACAGTTTGAATTTTTATTTGCAAGGTTTCTTTTTAGTACTTGTTGTAAGGAACAAAAACTTTTGCAACGGGACGAACCCTTTTTTTCACATTGGGCTTGTGCGAGTTTGCCACAAATACCCCTTGATAGACATTAACATTGAAATAAAAATGTAAAGGCTTTTGCTTGCAGTTACGGAAGTGGCACCAAGTCTACCACAAGAGAAATGGAATTCTGTAAATTCAATCTAAGGAATTGTGGCTGCAACAAACTATAAAGGTGGCACACAATACAGCTTAGTTTACCCGAGACAACAGTGAACCCTTTCAAACTAGATTAGTGTCCTAGCAATTGTTAAGTCCCCAAAAAGGAATGGTCCATCTGTAAGTTATTCATATCAGTTGTAGGGTAGTGCAATTCCAAATTTTGTGTCATGGGAAATAATAATGATTAATAATAGCGCCCATGCTGTTTAAAAAAGGACGAGAGCTGTGTTGAAAACTGAGAAATGATTGTCCTCGCAGGTAGCGTAAGATTACCTAATTCCTCTCTCTTATCCAGTTGCAATGTAAGAGTGGTGTTTAATTTTATTTGTTCTCTTGCGACAATGGCTTGTTTGATGACTTCTGTTTTGAATTTAGTTTGCTTGCTTTCTTATTTGTTTCCATCAACTTCCCTTTTTTTGGTGGAGGTTCTTTATTTTCTTCTTCAGATTTATCCTGCGGCAGAAAAAAATAGAGACAAACTACAACTTTATGGTAAATTTACACTACCAAAACTGAACCTGTCATAAAATTGTCAGATTAAAAACGCCCGTTACACAAGAAATTTTTAAAGTTTGAAAACCATTAAATGGAGCACTGGTTTTGTTGGAACTTTATTGATTTTCGGATATTTTTATCTACATGTATTTAGTAGAGTTCATTAGATGTTTCCAGCAGATGTAGACACCGCAGTAATATACATTCAACGCATGGCGAAAAATAAATTGATAAATATCAATAAGTTGATGAATTATACTGAAACCACTAACCTCTTCTTGCTCCTCTTCCTCGCCCTCAACATCTTCGCCTTCGCTGCTTGAATCTTCTTTCAGAGCAGCCTCGAGGGTCGCACCATTTATTCGAAAGTCTCGTGCCAAACTGCGTTTAAAGTGTTCCATCAGATTGATCTACAAGAGTTCAACAACAAGGTTAAGAAACCATATAGCTCAGTAATGACGATTCAATAGCGGAATTTTCCGATACAAAACTCATTTGCATCATTTACTACTTGGAATCATAGACGAAAGTAAAGAAAAGAACCATATCTTGGTGACATCTTTAATAATTCGATCTTAAGCAGAAACTTTTTAAGGTTGTAAGGACAAGACAATCGAAAGTTTTGACTACAGTTCTGAAAATTGTAAAGGGACGCCACCCTTAACTTCACAGCTGGAGACAATTGACTGAGAAACCTGTAATTAATCCTTTCTTACCTTGGACTTTTTGGAAAGCTGTATTAGGTAACGCTCATACTGCTCCATTGCATATATCAAGTTCGGCACTGACTTCATCTCTTTCAGAACTTTTGCCTAAATATGTAATTTGGGAAGAAAGCTACGTTTCAAGTAGTGTAGTCTTAAAATTCAAAATAAGTCCTGAGGAAATATCAGGGAGATCCATTCGCACATGTCTACCGCATGGCCGATGTGCGCCTACTTTAGTCATTTAAAAGTTCCAAGAAGTTGATGAAGCAAATTTGGTGGAAGATTGATACCACAAGAGAGCATTTCCATAGTTCGGGTTGTTGTTGTTTCAGTGTTAAATGAAACTTATAAACTGTCGGTTTTGTCTTTGAAAGTTTACCATGCTTAAATACGGTAATTTCCCATAAAGACGTGGCTAAAACCAACAACCTGTATAGTAGGTACTGGACAAAACCTTACCTGTGGTTTGATACGGATCAAAATCTATCTGGTAGCATAATCGACTAAAACAAACCCAAGCTTGGTGCTAAAAAAGGTTTTAACTAACCTTCCCTGACATATTCATTCCTTTGGGTGCCTTTTTCTTCTCTTTGGTTTTATTTTTCGTCATGGTGCTCTTCTCCAAAAGAGTTTGGCTTTGTGTGGCTTGGATGTATGTCAGAAGAGCATACACTTGCTGCGACAAGTGGGTGCCGGTCATTTTGACCTGTAGACAGATTTCACTTTACCTCAGTGAATTTTCTACCTTTTCCGTATCAAACTTTGCCTATTGTTTTGGTTAGCATATTTTAAGACAATGAAGCTTTTGTTGTCTGTCTTTTGGGATTTTTCTGTTCGGTGACGCGAACTTAGACACGGGTTAACTTGGTTCTAGTTCGCAAATTTTCAATGACGACATTTTGTTTCTCACGGGAGCCTACTAGGGAAAACACAGACAGATTAGCAGGGCGTGAGTTAGTAAATGTCGGTGCCTAAGAAACCGAGGCCTTTTAAAAATTTTAATGGATTTTAGCATGCCTGTAAGGGTTATACGGAACAAATGCGAGGGATTACTGAAGAACTAAAGAAAGAAAATTATACCCATTTTTAAGGTTATCGGAAACTAAATTTTTAGGGGAGAAGTATACCTTAGAAGATGTAGTTTTTATTAAAAAAAAACAAAAACAAAAAAAAACAAATCCAACAGTCACAATAGTAACCTTCCCTCTGGAAAATTGTCACTAAGTAGGCATATAATTCACCTGTGGACTCCATCATTTTGAAAAGAAGTCGGTAATCTGGCCACGTATGCAAAAGCACAATGCGCAAATTCGAAACAACTGATGCTGAAGAATGGCTTTTTGTGAAACACCTAAATGTTATCGCGACGCGATAAAATGAAAGAAGAGTGAGCCGCAGGTAAGCAGCTGGGTTGCTGAGCAGTTTGAAAGGGCGGCGTCTTCGGTCAAGTTTTACGAACACAAGAAGACAGTTTTCGATGGGTTAGGCAACTCTTGAGAATCACTACCACAACTTTATTTAATCTTTGTTATGGCTGGAATAAAATATGTATGTTCTGAATCAGAGTTCTTCTTTAAGTGAGATCACTAAGACAGATATTCCATATCTTCAACATACTCTCCATCACCATTTTTACCAAAACAACTCGTCAAACTGATAAATTTCAAAAGATGCAATACACAAAATGAATTTTTCTTACCAGAAAGTTACCAAAACACTGCTGTTGCAATATATTAAATATTGACCGTTGGCAAGAGAAAACCATAACAGAGAGGCTGGTCAATTTACGGATACTTTTCGTTTTCTTGCTGCATTCTCTTATGATGTTCAACAGGACAAGTATTCATTAACGAAAACCAAAAACAATCTTCTCACTCACCAGCTTTTCAAACTTTGCAGGGAAGTAACCAAGTCTTTGGTTATAAAGCGACAAATACTATAACATGGGGAAAAGTGATAATGATAATAGTGTAGATTATTAAAAGACTGAAAAATACATTATGGTGGGGATTAAACGCCGCACAAAATTTCTAAAATACTCCAGGCAACCCTAGGCCTCCCGGGCCTCGCAAACTGATTCCATGTTGAGCGATCCATGTTCCAGGCCTGGTCAAACTCTTCTCTTTGGTACTTACTAAAGCTAAATTATGTTTCATTTGATATAATGTACAATAGATATTAAAAACCTTTAAACTTACATGTTTCGTAAGAGAACCGAGAGTGACATACATTTTGGTCAGCACCTATAATAATAGATATGAAGTAACACCGAGTATTAAAGCTTCCATCCTCAAGTCACAGAAAGTACATGTAGCCAACTGACATTTTAGCCACTTCAAACAGCCCGCAATTGGGTATGTTCTTTATACTACTTGTAATCTCATCAGCTCTTACAGTACTGTCTTTGACCACAAAGTTATACAGTTAAATTAAATATATCATAAACAGACTTTACAATCAAACATTTTCAACAGTGAGCAAGCATCCGTCAAGTACATAGGACATGTGACAAATAACATAGGACATGGTAGAAGGGACAAAAAAAAATGGACAATGCAAAGACCAACAAAGAGCTAAAAAAAGAAAAAACCGAGGCTGTACTGTATGTAGTAAATCACCTTCAGCGTTGCCTCAGTGCAGGGACCTTCTGGAAGAGCAGACTGCGACAGTTCGTGGAGAGCAGAAACAACAGTACAGAGACGTTGGCACAATGCCTGCTCCAACATACCACGAGGGAAACTATCAGGAGAATCTGGCACCTTTTCGTCTGTACAATAGGGTTTAAAGGAAAAAATATCTACCAAACCTAAACTATCTCAAACCCGTTTTCATAGAAAAAAGTGATAATTTGAGAAACATGAGAAATATACTTTTCCTAATGGTGCACTAACCACCAAGGGCGAGTATTTAAAAGCAAGCATAACACTATACCAGGCTTAACTGTCAATGTAGCGTGTAATATTGCATACAGATAACCAAATATAACTTTAAAGATTTCAGGTCAAGCCAGTCATAATCTATCCTGTCAAATGTCCATTCTGTACACACTACGTAACTACTGACACAAAGAAGGTAAAACTACCTCTTTTGGCCAAACACTTCCTTACTTCCTTCCAACTTAAAGTAACGTTCAGTTAATTGTCCGTCAGGAAAGTCTCAACTAGCAATGACAAAACGATTTTCCTAAAATCTTTATTAGGTTAACATGGAGCAATCCAAGACTCTCTTTCAATAGGCCCAGCTACAAGCCATAAGAAGCGCCACCTACAAAACAGTTTTGCTTTCCCTTTGACGTGATAATTTTCTGTATAACGCTCACCTGTTAGTCTTGTTGCTGATGATGTCATGTCACCTTTTACCTTTACAAGTGCCCTGTCCATTTCATCTACAATTTTTTCAACTTGATTTACTAAAAGGAGCTATAATAGATAAAGTATGTGTTGTTACGAAACATCACAGAGAGTTCAAATAGTAAGTGTTCTAACACTGATGATAACTTAAAATAACTAATGATAACTTACTGCAGGCTTTATTTTCTTTTATACCCTTCATTGTGTGCAAGAGTTACAATGATTATACCTCATCTCTTACTTTTTTGAACCCATGTTTGTATCAGTGCTGACAAGATTATGATAAAATGATGAAAGTGAATTGAAACATTGAGAAAAAAGGTGGGAAAAAGATCAAGTAAGTAGCGAAAATAACATGAACATCTATCAATTGCATTTGGTAATAGATTACTCCATTCACAATGATGACTGACTTACAGCAACAGAAGGTGCAGCAGTCCTTTGGTTAATAATCGCATAGTGTGTTCTGTTTTCAACTTCAATTTCCTGATTAAAAAAAAAGACAGAGATAAAAACAACTTACAACCAATTTTAACTTCCAACACCACATAAACTTCCAATGATAGAACGTATCTTAATGCCAAGGAGGAAGGTCTTTGATCAGCATGCTGGGCACTTCTATTTATAGTCTTACATGTTCTAATCTCTTAGTTTTTACTTGTAAAGTTTACCAAGAGTGAATGGAAAATCACCTTTCAAGACTACTGTAAGCTGTAACGCCAACAGATTAGTCAAACTTTTGACTTATTATTATAATTATCATTAATATCATTACTATTTTTATACTGTAATGAATACAAACGTCATACTTCATCTACATCTCCAAGCTGACTATGAACATCCTGGGCAACATCACGCACCTACAGCAACCAAGAAGTAATCATCTTATGTGCATAGAACAACTGAATTCTGCTCATGTTCAGTGTCCTCTTAGATCTAAAAACTGAGGTCATGTAAGTTTATGCTTTGCCAATAATAGAGGAAGGTTAGCACCCGTTTCCACAATGACTCAGAGCATTAATACAGAGATTTGTGCCAATCTATTTGAAGATCCAGAATGCAGATAGAGAATGGAGCCATTTAACTTGGAGTGGCATGAAATGTTTACACACACAGTTTCCTTTGTCTGGGAGAAAAGGTGACTTTGTGGTTTATGTGCAGAACCCCTGATCAAATGGTTCTGGTTTAAGCCCTGGCCAGGTCATTGTTTTGTATTTTTAGGTGTAAAACTTAAATCTTACTAGACCTCTCTTTGCCAAAAGTATACAGTTAACTTCCCATAACCCAAATGTTCAAGAAAAAGTGAGAAAGGAAAGAGATATGGCGAGTCTGAACAAATAACTCTTTACCACAATTTAGTTGTAATAATCGCCACTGTTATACAAACAAGTGCTAAGGGGCAATTGAAATAAGACTTCACCCTATCAACATCAGCAGGGTCCATATGGAATTGAATGGGTTGAATTAAGTTACAAATTTGATCAAAAATCTGGCTTGAGCCCTTACCAGGCCTGCACTTGCTTTCAATTGGAATGTTATGGAGTGTAACAGGGACATCAAAGACTTAGTGAGAGAGAGATCATCTGGAAAGAGGAAAAATTTGAGCAAAATTAGGAACTTCCCAGAATTCTCCCAACATATAGAAATATGAAGTGGAACTGACTTCTCGACTAAGACACACTTTATGTATTTTATAAATCTGAAATTTGATATATTTGAAAGTTAAGAAAAAATAATAAATTCTTCAGTTTTCTTACCAACATTATTATCTGCACAAACCGTTTGAACCCAGGTATGCAACTGACTAAACTGTATCAAGGAAAAAAGTTCAGTTCATTGACAAATTTAAAGGTAAATTATTTATAGGTACCCCACTCTTTTGGAAAAAAACAATGAATGGGTAATGATAATGAAAGGTCTGTAACCAATAACCTCAAAAAATTTCATAGGTGGCAAAACAAGGAATTTGCAGTCCCTCTAAAGTTATGATCCTCTACAGAAGGTGCCCCCCTATTTAGTACTTCATTCTGTATCACCAAAATGACACATGAAACATAGAGCTATTTTCAATAAAACTATGCTCACAAATACAATGTGGAACCCAATGCATGAACATACATACATACATACATACATCCATACATCCATGCCTGCATGCATGCACGCACGCACGCACGCACACACACACACACACACATACATACATACGTACATACATACAGTACATAGGTTAATTGACCACTCCCCTTAGGGTGTATTCTTAATAAAATTGAATGACCCATGAAAGTAGCAGTATGCCGAAAGGAGATTTAGTACTTTGTGATCAATTATTGTCCTCAGTTCTTGTTAACTGAATGTAGTCAAACATGAGTGCACATTTGAAGCAAGGTACCTGAGGTCCATCTGGCTCCAAATGATGTGCTAACATTACAATCACATTCACTAGTGACTGACAATCCTTAAGACTGACTTCTTTGTCCTCATCGGGAGAGGAGATGATGCTGACAATTAAACGCTACGGAAACAAGACTTAAAAATCTTATACTATTGCACTCCAAATATACCTTTCAGCAACCCTGCTCAAAAGGGGGAGATTTTACTTTACAGAAAAATTACCTTGTAACTGATAAATATGAAATCATACAACGGAATCAATTCATTCACAAGACAGCAACATTAAGTATGGTTGCAACATTCAAAATTGGAAATGCATACAGTTTCAAACAGGTGTATAAATCTGTGTGGAAATTTACTTTCATCTGCATTACACAAATTTGATTATTTAACAGTATGCTATTTCACCATCAATCACAGTATCTAAGAGTGGAAAAAAAATGAAATGAACAAATTCAAACAGACAAAATACTGACAAGTATTAACAGCATGAAGTCAGTATACAGAAAAATTAAAAAGTCGACCAGCAAACTCTTTCTAGGTATTCAAGAAACATTATTACCAAACATGAGAAAGCATTTAATACTATACCAAGGGAAAATAAATTGCTGTGTCAATTCCTAAATCTGCATTATTTCCATTTTTTGATTAACAGCCATCAGGGGCAGGTACGAAATGCACTCGAAGATTAAAAACATTAAATATTAAACATTAAAATATGATACCAACCTGACATTTCTTTATCTGCACATAAATAGCTTCTTGATCTGTTGAATCATCTGATGCAACACCATTGCCATCCTGGGTTGAATCTAGGTAGCAAAAAAGAAAAGAGGAAAATTTGTCTGTGGAATGAACAAAACACCAAAATATTGGAACCATGCTATCTCTGGTTATTTCATTGATCCGACACAAAATAGAAGATTTATTGATTAGAATCACATTAAACAAAGAGATAGCTCTGATCATAACAGACAAGGATAACTAAAGGGAAGTCGACCAAACATTATGAAAAAGTTGTAACCTTTTAAAATAGTATACTTGCACACAATTATCTTCTTGAATCAACTGATGTGAATTCACATACAACCATGTAATATGGCTGCACTTTGAGAAATGATAATATCCACAGCTTACAGCCTCACCTATTGCATTCATAAAATGGGGCAACTTTTGGAAGAACCAGCAGCACATGATATTAACCACTGAGCAGAAACCCTCTATACACAAGCTATTGATTTTCTTACCCTGAATAAGATTGTGAAAGAATTAAGTTAGTTTGTACAACAGAAAAAAGTTACTAAGCAATGAGGAGAGAGAAGCATAAATCCCATTTTTCAGCCCAAATGTTCTTTATATCCCAATTCTCAGCCAATTTTTCCAAGACTTCAGTACCCAATCCCATTTTTCCAGTGATTCCTAGTTCCAGTGAACCAATTGAAAACATTTAGAAATTCAACTCATTTAGGCACCTCTAAAGGAAAATTAAAAACACAAAAACAGACTAAAGCAGGTGCAGAGCTTGTTCATACATTCACTAAAACAGTCAAAAATCTGAATTAAAAAAGCCAAGAATATATTGACATCTAAAGTAGTCAAATGAGCATCACATCCTTGGTTCTTGTGCATCTATTCATCAAAAACATAGCAAAGACTCTTTCAAACACAACAACTATTATTTGACAAGTGTTGTGTTGCCGCTAAATTTATATTTACATAATTATACTCGTTTGAGGTGTTGCACAGCTGGTAGTTTACTTGCTTTAAAGATGTCTTATTGCCAAGTAAAATTGTTGTCTTATTCATTCACAAGGGGCACAGCATACCAGTGACTTTAAAATAAAAATTCCTTCTTTTTTGGGTAATCATAAACTACACTATCCATGCAATTGTACCTTCTCCTTCTTATCTTGCTCTTCCTGTAAACAGCTTTCTCCATTAAGATGCTTCCAGAAAACTCTGTAATTGAAGACATAATCAACTACTTAACTCTACTTTTAAATTTTAAAATGATACAAAATTTCTGCATTTGAGCTTGATGTTTTTTCTTCATCTCCACCTTGTGACTGATGTTTGTGACTACCTTAGTAGTAAGTAATTAGAGTAAAACATGTTTCCATCAGGACTGCCTGCTAACAGTTTTACTTGTTTATGCATGAACAAAAGCATTTAAGACCTTCCAATGGTACAGCAATGCTTGTAAATGGTGTCGTTGTTAGAGCCTCCAGGTCCTGAGCAAAATCCACCATCACTAATCTGAGAAAGCATTACGCCAAAGTTGAATATATTGGTTTTCATAGGAGGAAAAACACCTTATAATTGCTTTTCTAGATACAAAATTAATGGTCTTAACCGATACAAACAAATGTTCTCCTTTAGATATGCCATAATTAAATCCCCTACTCTGAGGAATCATACTTTACATCTAAAGTTAAAGGTGGTTGTAAAGTAACAAGAAAAACATGTTGATGCCCTACTGAGAATCTCTTTTGTCATGTTATGTGTTAGTTGTTGCATTATCAAAACACAGGTTAACCACACAGCTCAATACCAATGCAAAAGACACACTTTACTCTTACCTATCATTCTCTGCATTACCTGTAAGTATAGACTTGTAGCAATTCCCTTAACATGTGCAATGCTCTTAACAGGTCTTACATGGTATGGAAAAAAATCAAGTATTTATCTGTTGACCCCTTACATTATTTTGAAAGCAAAGCAAGAATTTGCCTCTGGGCTATTCCACATGAGACATGAAAATTTGACAGATTTTCAAATTCAAAATATGAGAGCCAAATGTACTTTTAATGAAAGCTTATACATAGTTCTATAAGAATCCAAATCTAGATTGGCAGTAGTGGACATGCCCAGGTTGTGTGATGCCATTGTTTTTCAGGGTTTTTATTAACCCAATAAGCCATTTTACATACCAATATCTAAATTGCTATATCTCAAAGAAATTGATCGCCATGAATCAGATTTTGAGATCTTAACTACCCACTAGGATGAGCCTTTCAATGCAAAAAGGAAAAAATTCTCAAACATTTAATGTCTCAGACGTACAAAGACCTAAAAAGTGTTGCGGACGTGACCTTCAGGGTATCATTTATTTAATTTCTATGTAGGTTCTCAACTGTTTCAGGTCTTATTTATGTTGCTCTTATAATGTCACAAAATTAATATAAAACATTGATAAATCCTAACCATTCAGTTTGCTGATACCTCTTTGAGCTTTTTAACAGCTGTATCAACAGCATACTTCACCAATTCTTTCAAGCCTCTCAATGTAGCTAGACTTTGTTGATGACTTGGAGCTCTGTCACTGAAATATTACAAATATTACAGCTGCTGTTGCAATTCAAACACCTTCACAATTAAGACAAGTATACTAAGACAGTGGTGATAAATGTAAACAAACAAAGAAAAACAAACAATTTGTCTTAGATTGAAGTAATTCATTTTCTTTCATACATTTTTCATCACTAACTTTCACTTATATTTAGCAATCATGACCTAAATAATTTAGCTTGCTACATTTTGGTATTGATTTCCCTAAATTAGCAATAATTGCATATACAGTACAACTAAGTATAATATAAATGAATAAAGGCTGATAGTTTCGAAAGAAACTGTTTGGGGCCGCGTTGGTGGGAGTAACGAAATAACTTGGATATATCAATATAGTTGAAGTGGTAAATTGGCTACCGTAACAATTACAAATATAACTTACTACTTTACTACCAAAGACACTATTTGAATAAAAGTTACATTATGATCACCATACTTAGCATCACCTGAATAATGCTCTTAACAAAGATGCAGAACATTCCAGTGAAAGCATACTTTTAACTCCCTGTTTTACAGCTGCAGAGCGACTTTTCTTTCCTAGATTTCAAGCCAGAAAACAGATTGTCTCAAAACAAAAGTTATGGGAAATGTTTGGGGAAGGGAAAGAGGCTCACAACACAAAAAATTGACAGACATTTAGAGCAATACAACACAAACAACAACACTAATTGAAAGAGAAAAACACATTTCTTTTTCCTTTTCCATTCTTTCTTGGTCATCTTTCACGCTAAGGGGGCTATTCTTAATGATACAGACAAGTTATTACACTTGGTGCCCATGCAAAGAGAATGGTAACACAAATAATGAAACTGGGTGAGTGAGTAACAGATATCAGTACCTTGGATTAGTGGTTTCCATCGAGAATCAAAATGTCATCAATAATTTATTCTCACTCATTTAATTTCATTTCTATGTATCCCATTCAGGTGAGCTCAAAAAAATAAAAAGAGAAGAAACACTTTGTTGGTTTTGATCGATGTTAAAAAAAAAAAACCTACCAGCAGTGTTTGATTTTTCCTTTAGTATCTCTGAGAGCTGGTGGTAATTCCTAAACAACTGTAGAATCTCTTCCACTGATTCCCCACTAGACAACAGAAACAGGAATTTTTAAGCTGATCCATAGGTAACTAATTAAAGAACTAGGTCATGTGATTGTATGGCTAGATACAAAGAATCTTCCAGTATGTAATTTATGTGAGTGATTGTAATGGAACAACAGGGGAAACAGAAATTAAAAACTTCAGGGCCAACAATAAAAAAAAACATATACCTTTTCAAATAATTCTCACAAGTATATCATTAGATCCCTTATCTAAACTCTACACTGTTCTGTGCTTCTTCAATTTCCAAATATGCCAATAAGAGCCATGTGGAATTCAAAATTTATTTGACACACTTACCTTAGCTCTCCTTCTGAGAAACTGTACTCTAGCAGAATCTAGATAAAATAAAATCCAAAATATTGACATAGGTATAATTTCTTACTTCTATACATTCCCGACAAAGGAGAGACAAAATCCTTTTAGTTTAACACAATTCTAAAATTACACATGTACAGTGCCACCTGTTTTGCATCACTAGTAATTACTCTGCTTTCCCTAACCCCACATTGTTCCAACTTTTAAAAAAAGCTATAATATATTAATCAATTTTTCAATCTTGGTATTCACAACATTTGTTTGTTTGTTTGCCAGTTAATTGATCCCCACATTAATTATTTGTTAAAACTGTAAGTGACCAACTTGTACACCTACACTATTGTTGTTGATGAGCCCCTTTTAATTTGGCAGTTCATTTGTGTTAATTATCTTCATGTTAACATCTTTACTGTTTGTATTGCAGTTTGGTTCACATCATAGGTCTACAAGTAAATCAGTTGTGTCTTTCTTCTTGTCTTTCTTAATTCATTCATCACATAAGATGAATTACGCTGTCTACCCAGCCAAGAACTATCATAAATGATTCTAATCATTAACTAGAGAAAGATACCTTTGAAATGAAGAATCAGCCCTCTAAATATCAAACCCCTTTCTTCCAATGACTGACTCCCACAAAAAATCTCACACACACAAAGAACAAGGAAAGTTAAATGACAATGGAATCATTTAATCGACCAAAATTACACTCATTCACAGGGATAAAATCTTGCCCTGACAGGAAATTTCAATTTCACCAGATGGTGTTGAAACTATCCACAGAATGCAATGCATACCTCATAAACTCCAAGAACTAGGAGAGCTAGAATGTTATTCTTGATACCAACACTAGAGACCAGAGAAAAGTCTGCGGACTTATCCTGCAAAAAGATAACATCACATGGTTAAAAAGAAAATACTGGTTAAAGAAGACTTCAGATGACAGCATATATATCATTTCTAATAGTAATTACTTTACCAGTTCAAAGTCTTCCATCTCTGATTTGTTCATTCTGTGAACAAGAGACTGGAATAAATCCTCTAGTTCATTTAGGATGTGTTCCATTGATTCTGAAATACCAAGCAAAGTTCCTTTTAATCTCATTTGCAGGTGCAACATTTGGAAACCTCTAAGTTTGTTTCTAGCCCACTGGCCACCAAGAGAAAAGTAAGTGTGCAAAAATTGCCCATGCAATCCTCTTTTAAGCTATTAACCACAGCACCTTCATCTTAAAGTACATGTAACTCCTTTCTAGTTTTAAAGAAACTGAACTTCACCAGTAAAGCTTGCATACCTTTCTCATCATTTTCATCCTCATTGTGACTTTCAATACATTTTCCCATCGAGTGCAGTAAGTAACACAATAGGTGGGCCTAAAATGAAATAGCACATCTTCTTACATAACATGGACAAAATTTTGCAACTAAACAAGTCAGAGAGATGAATGGGAAACTATTCAAAATGACAAAAACATTAGGAGTTACTCACTAGTGGCTCTGTAAGGTAAATCTGATCTCCTGCAGCAGACAAACAAGGCTCTAATTTGATTGGAGGATTAACTGTTTCATCTGACTCCAAATATTTTTGGAACTGTGGCAGTAATCAAATAATACTTGGGTTAATGGCATGGAAGTGCCGATATTTCACCTCATATCCATTCACTAGAATCCCTAGTAAGTTAACAGTAATAGTATTGTCCAACAACATGCACATTACCTGATTGCTTAACATATCTAGAATAGGTTGTTGTAATTGAGGATTTCTACATAACACATGGAAGAGCCCCTAAAAACAATAAGAGAATTAATGAACAAATAAAGTAAAATTATAAAATATTTAAGATAGTATGCAGACTCTCCTTGGTCAGAAGGTGCTAACTGAGAGAATTTTTGAGAAATATTTAAAAAAGTAATAGCACATTTTTTCTGTGTTTACATAGCCTCATCTAAACACTTGGGGCTTGAAAGAATACTTGAAAAATGTGCAAATGCTTGCCTGCATCTTACATTTAAACAATTTTGTCAAATACTCTCAACTCCCCACTTAATTATGTGAGGCTGTGTAAATACCAAAAAAATTACTCTAATGCTTTAGTGGAGCTGGTGGCTGCAGATAATGGCTTAATTATGCAGCTATATTTCATGTGCAGGTATGTCACATTTAAGCAGTCATTGTAATGGGTCAGCCTCCAGAGTAAAAATGTGATGTCAGCAGATGAAAATTTATGTACGTGTAAGTATAAGGTGATTTGGTTGTCAATTATGACTTGAAACTCCACAAACAAGACTGTTAATAATATCAATATTATAATTATTATGTATGACAACATACACTGTATATAAGTATGGAATTTTAAAAATGTTTATTTCAAGTTTTTTTTGGCTGTCTGTAATATTTCATTGCCTGACATTTCATTTTAAGCATGAATTATAAACACATTTAAATTTTGAACTGTTTGTAAAAAAAAATTCCATGACATGAAATTATTACATTTGGATAAAATCTACAAACAAATTAAGATTGACTAGGTAATTAATGGTTGCTAGTTTGTTACAGTCTGTTATGTAATGACAAGCCTGTGACTGTTGCCAGCCCAGGCCATGCATGGTTTAGTTTTGCACCATTTCGGTCACGTGACCAGTGTGTTTTTTATTAGCGTGGTCATAAAGTGTTTGACTCAAGCTCTTAGTGGATTTACACTTGTTAAGGGTGTCTTTTTTGTCCTTTTTGTGATCCTAAGGCTGACAAGGTAAAGAGGTGTATTTCGTGTCTTAAGTTTAATTAGTTTCTTTATTCCACTTCATTTCATATTTTATTTTTATGTTTTCTTTTATGCAGCACCATTCAACAAACATTCCCATCATGTCATTAGTGTAATTTCCATTTATTTTAGTTTTACAGCTTCTGTTTGAGGTCAGCAACGTCTACCAGCCATAATTACTGTGCAGTGGTTTGTTCAATCTATGTAGTTACAAGCCAGAGATCCCTCAGTCAGAGTATTAGTTAACCACACCTCATAGAATAATTTGGATATATCAACAAAGTTGAAATGGTAAATTGGCCATCGTAACGATTACAAAAGCTGACATTTAGAGTGTTAGCCCTTCGTTGGAACGAATGACGAAGGGCTAACGCTCGAAACGTCAGCTTTTGTAATTGTTACGGTGGCCAATTTACCATTTCAACTTTGTTGATATATCCAAATTATTTCGTTACTCCCACCAACCCAGCCCCGAACAGTTTCTTCCGAAACTATCAGCCTTTACACACCTCATAGAGCTGTACTCTTACATCAGCTTGCTGAGTGAGACATCTCCGAAGGTTCCCTACAAATAAAACACATGCACATAGCTGTAAGCAGCGGCAGAGTTAAGTTTACAACGATTTCATTAATGTTTTCAACAGCAGGGCAAATGGTTTTCACAGGTGGGAAAAACTTTTTTAACTAAACTTCATTATATTATATAACTTTCCTCCAGATTGTCAAACCAGGTGGGCAAAACTGTCTTCACAGCCAGTCAATTTACCTGATACCTGGCCCTTAATGAAACCCCTGGTTTGTCTGTAATTCCAACCTTATCAGATATATGAATTTCATGTATTCATTGTGTCCAACCTTATCTATAAGGAAGACTATACACAGCATAACTTATAGGTAATCAATACCTACTAGAGAACTGCATTTGGTGTTCATTTAGCCAGATGTAACATTCTTAGAGCCTAGTGTTGATTAGTGATGATTCAAGTGAGAAAACCATCTGCATAAATGCTTTGAAACCTTCTTTACAGAAAGTTCTTCAATGCTTTATTTTGGCCTAGCAGCTGGAATTTCTCACAGGGCAACTGTTTTAGGATTTTAGATTGCTAAACAGTGACATAAGAAAAGGTTGAGCTTTGACTTGCAACATACCAGTATACCATTTAAAGAGCCATACAGGGGAACAAGGGGTCTCAGGTTCATGGCTAATCCATACTCAGACCATGCTAGAACAACATGGAATTTTGCTGCACATTTCAAATTGGGAAAAAATTAAGGATTTCTCTGTTCTGCGATTTACCTAATATCTCTAGACAAAGTGCTTCATTTCCCATGTTACCACCTCGAACATGAACATCTACTTGAATTTGACTGGAATGTGATGGCTGACTTGGCTGACTCCCAGACTGACTTGATGTGATACCTCCACCTAAAATCTGAAAGAGTGCACAAACAAACCAAAAGATTTGAAAAAGAAAAACAAGTAAAACGAGTCCACAAAACATGTATTTCATGAAACATGGGTGAAGACCTTAGAGAAAAACCAATCGAGGAGGGGAATTTTTGAGCCCGAGTTTCATTCTTTGAATCACTCAGCCAATTTTCCTTTTACATACCCTTAAATGAGATTGAAAAACATTGAAGTGGTATTTGCCTTGCCTCATTTCAGAGGAAAATTGTGCAAATATTATTACAACTGAAGAAAGTAGTGAAACAAAAGGCTCAGCAAAAATTGCCGGGCATGTCTTCTTTTAAACAACAAACATATGTAATACATATATATGAACTGCGGTTATGAAACGTATATGTGCACGATCCTTCGCAGTAAAGCACTATTTAAGCAATAGTGAAAATCAGACCTGAAAAAATTCAGGCCTGTACGGGATTCGAACCACTGACCTCTGCGATACTAGTGCAGCGCTCTACCAATTGAGCTAACAAGCCAACTGGGAGCAGGCCATCAAATTAATTCGACATAAACCCGTACATGATAAATCAAACAACAAACATATGTAATACATATATATGAACTGCGGTTATGAAACGTATATGTGCACGATCCTTCGCAGTAAAGCACTATTTAAGCAATAGTGAAAATCAGACCTGAAAAAAATTCAGGCCTGTACGCGATTCGAACCACTGACCTCTGCGATACCAGTGCAGCGCTCTACCAATTGAGCTAACAAGCCAACTGGGAGCAGGTCAGTGGTTCGAATCCCATACAGGCCTGAATTTTTTTCAGGTCTGATTTTCACTATTGCTTAAATAGTGCTTTACTGCGAAGGATCGTGCACATATACATGTCTTCTTTTGTTGCACTGAAATTCATATGCCAAAATCTAACACTGGAATTTTAGAGACTTGGATATAAGTTAAACCTTCCTTACACACCTCCTTTTAATTAACAAGAACATACATGTAAGGCCTAAAATATACCACACCTTAAAATGTTTAAGGATCAGGAGAAATCCGGTTACAGCAATCTTACGTGCATCCACCTGTCTTAGGAGGAAAAAAAAAATGCTGTGTTACTGGCAGAATCAACTTGTAATTAAATGGTTGTAAATGGTTAGAGCACCATTTGTTCATTCATAGAAAAAAAAAACCTTTGGTTAAAGACAAAACTGAAATTCAAGAGGTGAATGCTAAATATATTACTCTGTATCAACTAAAGCAATACTCAAGGTGTGCATTTAAAAGCCATCATCAGTTACTGAGAAAAAATCAAGGTTCTTAGTATAGTTTTTCATTGCCTATCATTTGTATTGCAAATACATTTCTAGAAATACCTTTCTAGATCTTCATACATACCCATTTCCACAACATTCATCATTATTACCTTGAGAACATTGCTTTTCGTAGCACAACCATAAGAGAGTCCCTCAAAGACAAACTGATCTTCAAAAGGGGCTGTTCAAAATGGCAAAAATCAATTTTAAAAAGTTGTCCAAAAAACTATCTCCAATAACAGGAAATAATTATAACTGAAGCAACAAAACAGCAATAAAAAACAATTCCTTTCTCCCCCCCCCCCCAAGAAAAAAACAGCAAAACAAAACCCAGCTCACAGTACCTGGATGGCTTTCAAAAAACCCTCTGCTGACTTTGGAGGTAAGAATGACAAATAATCTAAAGCCTCCTTCACCTGACCAGGGAAGAAGAGAAAATTTTAAGAAAATAAAACCACAGCCTTAAAGTTACTTTAGTTGTCGTTTCATCCACTCTTTGGTCAAAGTTAAGTTTTACAAGGAAGGGTAACATAATGTCTGATGAAAAGTTTGGTGTACTTGGAAATCTGAACCAACAATTAGACTGAGCTATTAACAACAATATTTATGTCCTATAATCTCACAAAATGATTTCAATTTTGCTATCCAATTGACCATGTTCCTTCACGTAAGCTACAGAAAACATTTGATTAAAACATGTGCCAAAACTGAAAAGTGCCCTTTAAAAACTAGACAGATGGTTTAATTAGACCTACACTTGTACATTTTTCCAAGACAGATTAACTACTCACCCTTGGTAATGACTCTAGTAATACATGTGGTGCTGAAGAGACTGTGCTGGCCAACAGTTCTACAAAATAAACATCATCTCAAATCAAATTTGAGGGCAATCTCACCAGTATCATAAAAATTTAAAGTTTTAAAAAATATGATCTGAGTGAACAAGGTATGCATGGGAAATGATTTAGTTGCCTTCCCGAAGGAAGATTTTTAATTCATTTATTTTTCAAAGGAATCATAAATTGCACAATTTATACAGTTGACCATACAGTTACTTTCGGTTGTTGATTTAAGTGAAAAGAGCACACAACATAGCCTACTGCTCAGCTGACCTTTTTAAGACAGATTGTTGTCTAATCTCAAGGAACTTGGGCTTAAGTTGAAGCCATGCCTTTTTTAAGTTCAAACATACCAATGTAATGATAAACAGGTGTTGTTGCCTTGGTAATCACTCTGTTAAGGATTTGCTGAAGAATTTCAGAACGAACCATCTCATGGGCCTGAAAAAAAAAGACAAATACAAAAACCATTAATGCTAAGGAATGTAACTCCTTAAAACTCTTCAATTCCTATGAAATGATTGGTTATTTCTCTCTATACTGCTATACTCTTCACGTTAATTATTGATGAGTACCACTAGAAAGTAAATTAATTTAAATTCATAGATGTTAGTTTTTTAAAACAATCTCTAGAATTTTCTTAACACTATCTAGTTCAACTTTAAAAGTAATTTTTTATAATTTATAAAATTGTGCTAGTCCAAGTCTGGTTTGCTTCTGGCCAGTTTAGATTTTTCAAAACTATCCGCTTCATCAATTAATTTCAATGCTTAGCCTGGCTCCTTAAGAGCCTCCTTAAATTACCATATTGTTACAGGTATCATTGTTAGTTCTCAAACCACATTTAATATTAACCCCGGCTGACAAAAATCCTTACAATTAAGTACCTTAAAAGTATCAAGCAGAACTGAAGATCCAAGCCTGCAGGAGTGTTGGGTTGGAGAGGGGATTTGTGATGAATTAGAGTCTAAAAGAAAGTATAACCATACTCTTAGCAACCAGGCCCCAGTTGTTCAGAGGGCGGATAACGGTATCCAACGGATAAATCGCTATCCAGCGGATAAGTGTTACCAAAACGTACTGTGCTATCCACTGAATACAGATTTATCCAGTGCATAGCGTTATCTATCCTTTGAACAACCGGGGCCAGGTAAGCACACCAGTGTGTATCAATGTAACTACCATAAAAATGGAAATCTCAAGAAATTGGAAATCTTGAGTTTACATTGTGTACATCAATGGCATTCCATGGTTACAGTAAAACAATGGTCCAGTAAATCAGGAATAAATTACAAACACTAATCAAAACTGTTTATGGTGTGAGTGGGTGGGAAAGAATTAGACTACAACTTTCTAAAGCTAGAATTACATGTAAGCTTGTTGCTTGGTTGATTGCTAATAACATGTGTACAGATACCAATCAGCAGCAAAACACTTAACAATTAAAGGCATTAGCATGGTGCATAGTCATTGGCTCTATCTAAGTCTTAATGACTTGCATCCTGAATAAATTGCTCAGTCTTAAGTGTAACGTCACGTGATAGTTGTTATCCAATAGGATGCCAGACTTAACATGTGCTCGCAATCTTGTACTCGAGTCTTCAGTGAACCGACTTGGATTAAAAAGTATCGTTTGTTTACGCCCACAAGACACGTTTGTTGCAGTACAAAACACACAACGTTACATGGTGTCAGGAAGCGGTTCGAATTCTTGCTTTCGTTTGGTTAACAACGTCATTTGAACGTCAACCTTAGTCAACAGCGAGTTTAGCAAGCGATTGAAGCATGCCCGGCGATCCACCGAATGAAGGAGGACAACCCGTACAAGCTCA